AAAACTGTAAATTTAAAGTATATTATAGTAATAAACAGTAATAAGAGCAATGATTATAAAAATCAGTTCAGCATGCCTCTGCCTAGCAGAATTCTCTACCACACTGTCAGTTAACAGCAGAGAACCAAGACAAGAAGGAGCATCTTCTGAACTATTATTTTCTTAGCTCTTCACTATTTTATTTTCCTATTACATGCTATAATTTTTAAAAATAAAAAACTGGAATTATATCAAACTAAAGGTAATTATGAAATTAGTCTAAAGTAGCAACTCTTCCTAACTAAGCAAATGGGTATCAATCTATCACTGCTTTCACATGATTTTTGCTACATTCTTTCAAAATTACAAGTTTATAAAAGTACTGCTGTCTTTGAATAATTTTCAAAATATCTCATAGGAACAAGGTTTTATTTACATGTCAACTCAACAGTCTAAAAGCAAAAATCATACATTTTCATATATCAGATTTTTTTAAAATATTAAACATAATTTAAAAAAAAATTGGCATAATTCTATTTCTTCCTAGGAGAGCTGCATCATCCTTTGCCTCAGTTAGCATAGGTACAATAAATAATAAAAATCCCTTTCCTTCTTCTCTTGCATGCAATATAGGCTCCATATCCAACTCAACACAGTATTTACTAGGCCAGTGAACTCCCTATTTGGACTTTTTTTGCAGCACAAAGCAAGACACAAAGCCTGTGTTTGTTTGGGAAATATTATGGCACAACAGAGAACTGAGCACCTTCTGTGTGATCTCCAGCTACAACACTGCAGAAAGATAAGAAAGTTAATCAAGCAAAGTGATTTTTGCAAATGTTTCCAACTTACATTTAAATCAAAACATCAAACCCCCACAATCTCCCAGGTCACACATAGCAGGGGAAAATTGGGCTCTTGACTATCATTTACCTGGATCAAGGGGTGTGGGAAATTTCCCAATTATTTGCTAGATTTAGCAAGAGGGAAAAGGACTCAATATCCCTATCACTGAGAACATTCAAACACATAAAACTGCATTCAAAATTGACATAAATTAGATGCAGAACCTTAGCCATCAGAGCACTCTCCCCTAAGTCAGCCTCTCCAGATTGCTTAAGACTGATCCATTAGACTGAAGCTGGATGTGGAGCTTTGCAGAGTGCTGCTGCCCACACATTCCCTTTTTAACAAGTTTATGTTGAAGATAGTTTTCCTGAAGCAAGAGACTCAGTTTGGTAAAAAGAAATAGCACTATTATCAAACAAGAGGCAAAAGCAAAAGAACAGTTATCTGAAATTCCTCAAACTGTCTTTTCACAGTCCCTTTTAAGTTGTCTCAGACTTCATTCCTTATCTCTGCATGCTGAACCTATGTCTAAGTTTCTCCTTATTGGTGTTAGTTCCTCCAAAGAACCTCTGATGGTTCTTTAATGAAGCCATAAGATGAATATCCCTCTGAGAAGCTGTGTTTTCACTGTTTTCTCATAAAATATGATTCTTTCCCCACCTTTCCCTTCAGCTTTTAATTTGAAACCAATGCTAAACAGAACAGCAGTAACAGCAACCTGGATCATCCCACTCCTGTGATTATGGAAATTCCTTCTATTGGCTTCTCCTTAAACATGTTTCTATTACTTTAATCAAGGCTTTTGGTGGCCCTAGGTTTCCAAAACATGGCATTTCTGTGAGGTGACTTTCTAAGCCTATTTTCAAGGCAGATATTAGTAGATTCAGCTATGTTGCAGCTACACCAATTTCCATCTTATTAAAAATACCACAAAAAACTTCTTTTGTGCCTTCCTCATATATTCTGCAAGTATTTCTGTCTTATTATTTTCTAAAGGAGATCTACATTCTTGTTACTTTCTCCTGCTCATTCCGACCTGGATGTTTTTTGTAAGCCTTGTTCTGAACAAGTTGTGTTCTACTCAATATTCACTGTGCATTTGACAGATCCTGTGCTTTCACCTTTTTCTTTGCCATTTTTTACTGAGGTTTTCACCATGTCTCAGAATTCCAACATGTTTTCTCTCCTTCAGTTTTAGCAGAAATTTTCTAAAAGTCTGTCTGATGTGTTGCACCCCAAGATGCAGAGCACTTCACTGTGTTGTTTCCATCTTTTATTCCCTGCTGGCTGTCCTCAGCCTTTTGAGGGGCTTTTCTGTCAACACTGGCACCCCAGCTCAGTGTCCCCCTCAGCTCCTCTTGTTTGGGACACAATCCCTGTGCCACATTTCTCTCTACACATCCCTCTGCTGCTTTTACACTGGTTGCTTCTCCAGCTGATTTTTTTTGCCTCTGTTTACTTTCTTTCTCTGCCTTTGGTTATCCTGTTTTATTGAGCTCTTCAGCTGATGACTCCCTTTTTATTCCCCTTCAGTCTCCTATTTAACAGTCACATTTCAATTATTTTTCAGCTCAGGGTAAGGTGGCTACCAAGACTCCCAAAAGTAGGCTCAGGCACAAGCAATTGTCTAGAAGTTGTTGACTTCAGGCTTCCACACAGAGCTGGTTAATGAGAAAAAAACAGGATCCTTCACCTGGAGATTGGGGAGAAAACAAGGACCTCAGGGTCCACTAGGTCAAGTCCCTTCATTCTTTCCTAATTTTGCCATTAAAATAAAATTTAAAAACTATGAATTAACCATAAATTAGACACAGTTTATTTTCCACTTGGGATAATTTCTTATGTGTGTTCTGAAAAGCCTGGTCTGTCTTTTAAATCAACATCATCCTGCCTGTGAAAGGGAGCCAGTGATCTGCATGACAACACACTTGATCTTCTTCCAATAGTCAAAGTCATCCTGAGCTTTCTCAGCAACAATATCAAATTCCCTTTTGTGTGTGTGTGTGTGCATGTGATGCTTTTTGTTGGAATAGCCTCTTCATTATTAGAAGACAGTTGCTAAAGAATATGTTTCGCAAATTTCTTCTCATTTTCTTCATCAAATTAGTCAGTTGTTCCAGTCGAGGAATTCCAACTCAGTCCTGCTTTTCACATTTTAAAAATCTCACTTCATCCATAAAACATTTCTTCTTTAAAGATATTGACATTTTCTTACCTAGCAGCTCAAAAGAGTTTAGAAAATCCAGGTTGAGAGCAGCATATTGGAGTCTAGACACTAGATTACAAATTGCTATTTGATCAAAATATAAGCTAGATAATTTACATGTTTCTTATTTAAATATAAAAGGTTTCATATATTTAGAATAAAAAATGCCATCTAAGTGAATAACAAATTAGAAAAGCATAGCTACTACTGTGAGTAAGGTTACTAAAATGAGTGCAAGGGGGGCTGATTCTGGAGGGAAAAAAATAAAAAAATAAAGACTATGGTGTGAAAATGCAATCTAAAAAGGTGCTACTTTATGTACTACACATATCTGCAGTTCAAGAGATATGAATGCAAAGGCTGTCAAAAAAGCCTAAAACTTATAAACACCTCAAGATCATAAAGCTTCCAGCTTTAAGTTTTTAATAGGAAAAGCCAATAGCTGAACTCTCTACTCAGACCAAAGTTTCAAATGGAATCAAAAGATGTTGAACTTCATTACATTTGGTTAAAAGTGACAAAAGTGGCTGTAAAGGCTCAAAGCCCTGATTACAGGATCCCTTCCTTCTCTGCTGGGAGACAAGACAGATGTTCCTGCCAGGAGCTCGGTGTCAGCCCGACAGGAGAGAATCCCAGGGGTCTCTGCCTCTCCCTCCTGCCTGCAGTGGCCAGGAAGCTGTGGCAGGATGACCAAGAGGAGAGTGGATAAGCATCAGCCTGTACAGCAACACCAGGTAGCAACAAAAAATGCTTCCATTTTTCTCTTTGCTGGCTCCTTTAGGACCAGCTTCAAGAAAATAAGGAGCCTTTGTTCAAACATCCAAAGTATCAAGGTCAGGACAACAGCAAAGTACAACATCAAGCAACACATTTGAGGGGATGGCTCTGGAGCAGCTGGTTAGCTTCCATGATGAATGGGAATTACAGCAGTTTTCAAGAGACCAACAGAAGGCTGGCAGGGTCCTAATCAGCTATAACATCAGTAGTAAAGATCTAAGGAGACTAGAGCATTTCCAAAACTAGAAACTTCTCTGGGCTTTAGTTTCAATAATTATAGCTGTGACAGCTGGACGGTGTGGGTACATGACTGGAATGGGTTGGAGTTTTTGACATATGGTGCTATTGGAATCCTGTCTGTCAGGAAAGGAGCAGAAAATTACCCCCCAACAACGGGGGCTGCAGCTCATGTCATCCTGTCTCAAAGTAAAGGAGCAAAGATGGCATTTTTGCAGGTTAACATTCAGCAAATGACAAAATGTCATTCAAGTAATGTTACAGCAGAACATCAGTGCAAAGCGCTGCAGGGTCACAGGGGCAATTTAAGTTAACTGAAGGAAGCGCATTGGCATGCCTGGTTTTCCTTCTGCTAACTAAATTTCTAGCTGCTCTCATCCTCCTGGAACAACCATTTGGTGCTGACGCTGCGGGAAGTGGCCTCACGTGGCTTGAAAGAGACTCCAGGTGTTCTGAACAATAATTTCAGATTGTTACTTCTTCCCCAGTGTGCCTCTCTAAAGGTCTTTTTTCCATCCTGCATGTTCCAGCCCGTTTTAAACTCATGCTCACCCAGAGAGAAGGGAAGCTCTATCCTCCCCATAAATTGATAGTTCCATCAAAAAACACCATGTAGTGGCCAGTAATTAATTTTTCTTTACATTCTACTTATTAAAAATCAATGTAAAAACTCTGAAGCAAAAGATGTTCAGTATAATGAAGTGACACAGACCTGTTTGTCAGCCAGACCATCACTCTGCACAAGACCTATTTCTGCTAGGAAGGATAGTTGAACTATAGGTTGTCAAGACAGAATTTTATCTCTCTTTTCCTCAAGCTCTGAACTGTGCATGCTGAAATTAAACCCTTTCATTACCACTCCCCATTCCCTGTCATTCCTCTTTCTGTTGCCAAATTTGCCATTAAGGGCAGGTTTTTCTCCTAGCATACACACAGAAATATATGTGCTTACCTTGCAATTGCCAGGCCAGAGCAAGAAACTATTTATTTTTTCCCCTTCTTGGGATTCTTTTGTGACACAAAACCTCCTCAAAGCAGCCCATTCCAAAATGCAGGAATTTGAGCAGGTCTGTCTGAAGGCCACCATGCACGAACAAGGAACTTCTGCTGATTTGGAAAGGACACACACACACACAAGGTGACAGTGGGAACGTGCTGCCAAAGCAGAAATATTGCTCAAAATGCAGAGATGGATCACAGAAATCAAAGTAAGACTAGTGAGGGATATTAGGAAGGAAAGAAAGTGTTTCCAGGAGATCCAGTGACACAGGAGTGAAGGTACTGAGTGGTTTCCATTCTACTTTGATGTGGAAATTCTGGACACAGGTTTCCACATGGGAAAAACTTCATTAACATGCAACGTGGGAACATGGGCTGTAACATGGGAAAACTTCATTAAATTACTTAATTACTACAATTAAATTGCTTACTTAACAAGAGGGTGGTCAAATACTGACCCAAGGACCCAGTGAGGCTCTTGAAACAAAGCAAAACTGAACAGGACGTGGTCCTGGGCAGCCTCACAACAGCTGGCCCTGCTTTGGGCTGACCTCCACACCTACATTCTGATAGGATTCTGTGCTGAAAAACAGCAAATTTTAGAAAACACCATGGTAACACTTTCAATTGGTGCTAAAAAGATCTGCTTTAAACCAGTAAAAATTCAGAATTAAACCTGAAGTGTAGTTTTTCTGGATGCATGTATATCTTGAAGGGCTTCCATAGCATGAGAAATTTTAGGTAATATACAATATTGATTCTAGTAACTCATGCTTATTTCCTACCCTACATGCCACAATATGAAATTTTGGCAATTAATGATGACTCAGAGGAAATAGATGCCATTTAAAGGATAAACAGAAACATATATTTTAATCCTGAAGTATCTTATTAGATAGATATATTTTTCACAAAAATGTGGGCAAACTCTTTTCTACAGGCAAGCTCTATCTTAAATTCGAATATTTTTTCTAGTTTGAAGTACTGTGGACCTCTCTTCTCACCATCCCCTGGTGCTCTGGGATGTCCCCTCCTGGTCTTTGTTCATGTCTCAGAGAGCTTTCCTCATGTTCATTATGTTTAAGAAGGAGAGAGAGGATGAACCTCGTTATTCGGTAACATGAAGGTCACTTCATACACGAGAAAAGAAGCAGAGAAAGAGGAATAGGAAAAAGAATTAGACCCAGAACTCTAAAACTAATAAGCAGGATAAGACAGAAATACAAGGGTCTACTTTTTGCACATTCTCTTGAGTGCTGAAAAACAATGAACTTTGGTTTCCAGTACATTTAGTGCTCTGTCTTAAGCAGGGTTCTCAAATGTGTTAAAAAATACCATATGGGGTCTAGTGTTTTTGATTGGAAATGCATTAATGTGGGACAACTGGCTTTTCCAGAAGAAAGAAATTTCTAACAGGAGAGGGCTGTTATTATTTATATGAGCTGAGATCATCCCATTTTACTGATTCATTTAGAGTAATGCCAACTAGAGCTGAAAACAAGAATTTCTTCTTAAAGAAATTATGAAATTACTGTAGACTTTGATCTAACATCACCCAAGTTTTCACTTACAGGGACTCACAGCACAAACATTAGTCACTGGAAATATGTACTACATTGCATATCTTACAACACAGAAAAGGAGAGAGAAGCCTATTTGATCAAAATATTTGGAACCATAACTTGAAGTCAGGTTTGACAGAACTAACTTCTGTTTTTTCTACTTCATATACTTACATTAATTATTTTCTAATAGGAAGTGGATCACTGAGAAAGTGACTCTAAACACTCATATCCCTTTGGCTTCTTTCCCACCATTGTAAAACATCTCTGTCCAAGGAGCTGTTTTTCAAAAATGCACACACATAGCTATGTGCTCAAATAGAGTGTACATTTATTTGTTTCTATTTGCAAATATTTGAACTGTGCTTTCCACTACCAGATTTGGCATACAGTGTTTGCAGCTTGAAAATCTCCCCTTAGGCCTGTAAGACTATCCTGATTGAGGGAAAAAAAAATAAAAAATATCAAAGAATAACTGCCCTCAAGCCACATCATGCAATGATTAAATATGAAATACATATAACACCAATAAAAGAAAATCACAAAAAGTGGATTAACAAGATACTCAACTCCATCCAGTTTAACTGAAAGACGGTGAATCAGGATCGTGGCTGAAAGTCGCTGTTAGAAGGGTTATAATAATGGCCAAGACAAAAAGGTTATATTCTCAGAGCAGCTTGCTCTAAAAGAGAGCATGCTACCGTAGTTTGATGAAGAAATGTGAAATACAAAGTGTCAAACAGAAGAAAATGCAATCAGTTCACTGATCCTACACTGAAGAATTAAAGAAGGCAATAGCCTTGAGGAATGAAGGCACCTCTGATCTTTCGCACAGCATGGGCTGCCTGTGTTCCCCTTGTCAAACAGTAAATAATCAAAATCAATGGGAGGTATAAGAAGTCTGAAAAACTCAAAGGAAAAATAATTTCCCAGATATACCAGCAATAAAAGTCATTCCTGTGTTATATAATTCTAATTATTAGCAAAATAGAAAAGGCAGAGACCCGGACTAAATTTTTTATTCTGTATTTCACTGATATCTGTGTGGGTTTGTGATATTCTGGGGTTATATTTTCAGCTCAGTATATTCTCCTGACTGATCATTTGGGCAGAACTCATCTGCAGCCCTGTGGGGAAACAAGTCCAACAACCCCCAGAGGAGCTCAGCTTGGGCAAAGGTACTGGGGGCACCAGCATCAATCCTAATACTTTGTGACCAAACACAGCCAGGTTAACTTGAAGGCCAAAACTCTGTCACACATCAAAAGGATGGATAAATTCTCGTGTATAAACCCAGTGCAATAGGAGAATTTGCCACTGTGAAAGGGAAGCAAGCCCCTTTCAGTCCTCTGGATCGCCTTCCTCACCTCACCTGCCATCCAAATTGACAAGTTTAGGAAGAAGAGGCACAAGTTGTGATTACCACAGTGATGCCAGGGATCACAAATATGCCAAATTCCCAGGCTTCTGAGTAAGACAGACACACAGTAGATAGCAGAGAGCACTAAGAACACAGGTAGACTTCTCAGTCCAAGTTAAAGGGGCTATTTCTCCACCTCACCTCCCTCCATATGGATTTAGGGTAGGAAAAACTTAAGCACATTACTCCTTGAAAGACATAAGTCCTTAATATTCATTGTGAGTGAGTAGTTGCTAATTATCAGCCTTCTGCAATGGTACAGTGCCTCTGTGTGCCATTTTGGTGGGCTGGCTAAGACCACCACACACTGACATGAAATTCAGGAGTAACTCTGAGCTTTCTGTCCCCTGAAGTCAGCAAAAGCTTAGAGTATTGCTAAGATGGTAACAGCTGCCAGTCCCTCAAGGGACAGGCTTTGCTAGTGTTGCTCTTGAAATGAATGATGAATAACATTAGAAACATCCTCAGTGATACAGGCTGACAGTTGCCTTTATTTTCTAGAGCAAGGACTGAATCAGATACAGGCCATGGCCCTGGAAAACACCAGGGTTTGAGGCTGCTTTGTGAGCCCCTCACTAGGTCAGGCAGCTTCACACACAGCCTAAGAGTAATGGAATGAAGGGAAAAAGCATTCAAGAGGGGAAAAAAGGGCCTCTTTCAGGACAGTTGTGTGCATCCTCAAGAGCTCGCTGACTTTCTCCTCTCCAGGTCTTACTGGAAGATGAGCCACTTGTCTTGGGCACACCTTTGCTGTTGGTACATCATTCCCTAATGATCCTGGGGTTGCTGCACTTGTCTCTAACTGCATCTGGGCATCCTGGTAAATCAATGACTTAGAAGGCAGAGCTCCTTAGTAAATCTGCTAAAATAACTGTGCCTAATCCAGAATACCTAAACTAGGAAGCCACTTCTGCAGTGTCTATCCAGAGCACATGGCTCCTGAAATAGCATCTAGAAGGAGTCTGAATACTCCTGGATATTCTCCAAGTGGGAGACCCTAGATACTAAACACAGCATTGGTGCTGGGGTCACACTGCCAGCCAGGACAATACATCCACTTAATACCATCTACATTTCTGACACATCAGCTGAGCCCCTGGGTGATTTCAAAGAGGCTAATTATAACCACCTCTTCCTCTTACTAATGGTGCCACAAAAGAGTAATGACCACACTTGTTCAGCAGACCTGGCCTCTGGGGAACAGGACAGTCGGTGACTCAGCAGAGTGCTGCAGCCCCGTGCGTGCTCAGAGCCTCCAACAGGCAAGGACTGACATCCCTGCCCGGTGCACTGTGAGCCACTTCATGGGCCTCCAGTGCTTCCAGGGACAGGCAGACACAGTAATCTGCCTTCCCAGAACACGGGACCCCAGGCTGGATTACATCCACCTGCCCCCCTGCGATTTACAGCATTTGTTTCAAAAAGGTATTTTTGGTGCGTGTAGGAATAAAAACAAATGAGCAAACAAACAAACCCCAGATGTTTTAACCCACTAGAAAAAGCCTGTAGACAATCTTTTCAAAAGACCAGCATCAATATGCAGTTTGTAATTGTCTTGTCACATACTGTGTACTGACTTTCATGACTTTTCCCACAGTATTTCAGAGGTTGTTATAAATGCCAACACAGAAGGGAAGTGGGTGTTTCACCTCTGACTAATGGCAGCATTTACTAGCCTGAAGATCTCTTCTTATATCCATCTAATAAACTGGTTTGTCAGTAGATAATACGAAATTCCATCTGACACACTTGAAAACTAAGTGCCAGACTCTGAGTCTATTTCCATTTCAGTACACAAGATTTTATCCATGGAGCTCCTATTACCTTCGGTAACAGCATCCGTGCTATTCCCCTCACATAGCAAAGGGGGAGCAAACCCCCAGGTGAGCACTTGTAAAAGCCCCTGGGTACTTGTACAAGCCCCTGGGTAGAATAACTTTCAAGACAATTTTAGGATTTTTCTCCCTGATTTTTCTTGCAAACAAAATAGGCCTGGAAACTACCAAAGGTCTGTTGAACATATCAGAGGTGGGTGGAATTTGATTCTGCTCATCCTTTCAAAATGCCTCTGAGATTTGTAAATATTCACTGTGGTGCTGAGGTTTTGAGAAGGCAGTTATAGAGCAAATTTGAATGATTAATGATCCAAGACATTTTAACACATTATTTCTCTATTTTCAACATAAATAGTGTGTAAAGGGTGTTTAAAACCTTAATGAATCGAACTATATGAGTAAATAATGTTAATCATTTTAATTGCCCAGTAGTCTGAAATTAGATTTAACAGTCTGATAATGTATAACTTTAAAGGAATACAACCCTGCTCTATAAAAAATCCCTTCCAAGCCAATTCTAATAATTTCTATTTATCTTTTATGACATTAACTGTTCTACCAGTCTGCCGACAGACAGCCTTACGCTCACATTTAGTTTAAATGCAGTGCAGTATAGTTTTTCATTATCATTAACGTGCTCCTGGTGGGCAGAGTGCAATGCAGTGGCACTGGTCACACTTCATTGCTTTATCTCATATGACAAAGAGAGATGATGTGCTTCAGCCCAGGCCAGAAGATGAAAGGGAAAGGTGGCCATGGCAAACTCCCCCTGCTGCCGAGGAACCGCGGCCGGGCTGCGGCGTGTGACTTGCTAACAGCACGAAGGGGCAGACAAATAGATTTTCCTCTATATTTATAACCAGCATCATTCTTCCTTTCAGGCCTTTCAGTGCAGGTAGCTGTTTTATATGAAATGAACAATCTTTATAGACGTACCAGAGCTATAACAAGGCTGATTTTCAGCGAGGCTGAGGTATATAACTCTTACAGAATTGTCAGGCTTCTTGCTCAACAAATCAAGCCTAACTTATGATGTTTGCAGTGTAATTTTTATTCCTGTTTGACTAGCCAACTACCCAGTGGTAATAGGATGTTAGAAAAGGGCAGTAGCAATGTTTGTACATGCCATGATTGATAGGCAAACTCTGCATTTTTCATTTATATCTCCTGATTCCAAATCAGTTAAGTTTAGGAAAAATGAAACAAAATGGCAAGAAAAATGCTTGCAGATTGCAGCCCAGCACTCTCGTAGATCTGAGTTCAGCCCACATCTGCTAGGATTGTCTGGAAACATTAAGATATCTAAATGAAAATCAATACTATATGTGCCAGCATTTACTACCAAGAACAAGTATCAAGAGACCTCAGCTAATCAGGCTTTCAAGCTTGTACTTGAGCCATAGTCTGAACCCCAGGGGTGTCCTAATTGGCCCAGACTAATCATAGAAGAGTTAAATTTATAACCAGCAAAGACATCTTGTTTTTCTTACAAGTCATCATTTTGAAAGGGAAAGCCTCACCTGTGTGGTAGCGACGTGTGGTGAGAGCCACCGGTCATGCAAGAACTGCTGCTCACCTGTCAGAGGTAAAGGAAAGACTAATTTACTGTCCTCCATAAAACCAGTCAGGCACATTTAAGCTTTTGGTGGCTATATAGTGCTATCAAACCTTTCACATGAACCGCATATTTTCTCAACTTAAAAGCTCTGCACTTAACACTCCTGCACTGGGAGATAGAAGGTTTATATTTTAGAGGTAAAAGACCCTCCACACTGATCTCCCAACCTAGTTTTTTGAGCCAGCTAAAAAAATGTATTTCCAAATCAAACACTGTTGGTGGAACTTTGTTTTCTTTTTCTTCTGCAGTGAATGCAGATGTGCACAGAAGCCGACACACAGCAGTTCAGTTCATATGGTACAAATACGTGAATTATTTTTCCATACTAAAAATAAATAAAAAATCTTTATTGTAAAATAAAAGTGTGCACAATATCTTTGAGAAGACTGTTAAATTGTACTGCTAAAAATTATACTGTATCAGGGGATTGGGTTCCTAATATTTGTATTCGGGATGCCAAATGAGAGCAGATTTTATCCTATTTTCAACAAATTAAACACAAATATTTAAAATGTTTATAAAACTCAGTCCTCTATTTTGGGCTTATTTTGAGCAACTTAATAATTCTGCATAGATTTCTTTAAACAGAACAAAATAAAATTATGAATTAAGCCTGGAAATGCAAAATCTAATGTTTTTCAGCTTTCTTCAAAAGCATACGTAAACATCCCTCGAGATTCGCATCTACCAGAAGTTTAATATCATTATTTAGGTTCTTTGTGTCCCATACGTTAGATGTATTTTTAATGTTTACCTCTTAAAACAAAACATTGTCAGCTATCCTATTCCTCCTCACCACGGTTAATGGTTTCCTAGACAGTGCATCCTGGCACGCTGTGATCTATGAAAACATGAAATTCTCTCATGGCATGATGTTTCCCTTGGATTCTCATCTCCCACCAGAGCCTGCTGTGAAATTTTGTCAGTTCTTTTACCTCCGAGGAGCTCTCCTGTCCCCCATGCTGTAAGCTACTGCATTATCTTCCTGAATCAGTCTTCCCGTCATTGCTGCTTCACCTCCCACTTCTTGTGGGACAAGAAGGCTATCTTCATCTTCCCCTTCAGTGCTGTGCCTGATAACTCACTGCTCTCACCCTCTGCAGCACACAACAAGGTAATGAACAAAATAAAGCAGATAGAGAACTTCAGCCCAACCCACACACAGAAAGGCAGGCACGAGTCTCTCCTAAACAATTCCATTATCTCACCCTGTGTTTCCAGCCTGGATGCTACATATACCAGTCTGCAGGAAGGTACCAAAAAGCATTCCTACCACAAAATTAGGATCAAACAGACCATCTGACTTTGCTGTACTGCTTCCCCACTCAAAAATAATTGAAATATTAAACAAAAATACTCAGTACTTCTCTGTATCTTCAGAACACTTTTGGTACAAACTGTTGATTTCTCTTTACCCAAAACAAGACTTCAGTCTACTCATGCTTCAAACTCTTAAGAAAAAAGCAACAACTCTTACACCAACAGAATTTTCCTCTTATACAAAACCACAGCTCTTACAACTCCGCTTTCTGGTTCTGACTGACGTGGTTTAATAAATCCTTTTGGAGTGCTTTAGGAGACTATAATTTCCAATTCTCCTCTCTGCTGCTCCACCACCGGTTGTCACACATGTGAAAAAACAAAAATTTGTTCTGCAGCTGCTCCACTTCATTACCAATGGAAGATTCTAATTTTTAAATTAATGTGTTAGTGAATGAAGAATAGAGTTCACCATTTAAGAGCGCCATCCACTCTGGCAGTGGCCAATGCTCCCAGTGAGATGTTGAAGGGAGAGGATGCAGGAAGAGCCTGCAGCTTTGTCTGCAGAAGGTGAGCCCAGGGAAGGGCCCTGCAGCAGGTGGCTGAGCTGCAGGAGGTGCTGGGAAGGCTGCACAGCACCAGAAAGGCTGAGGAGGAATTAGACAGCTCATTCCAAGCACAATCTGCAGTGGAGGCCCAGCCCTCAGCCAAAATCTCCTCCATCAGGACACACAGAGGGCCAGGGGGCCAATAATGCAGGAGAATGGAAGCTTCCAACAGCAGGAGGAAGAGACTTCCCCCAAAGCCAGAGGTGCCCTTGCAGAGCAGCTGCACTGCAAGGGCACTGCTCTGCAGAATGAAGGAGACCTGTCACACCAGGAACAATACTGGAGATAAGTAAGGTAGTCCTTTTATTTATTTATTTTTTCTTTTAATTTGGATGGCTTTTACTTTTGCCATCTGTTAAATGCTGTTGCAAGCTCCTGTGCTATTAGCAGCCTTATTCCAGGTGTGAAGAAAGATATTTCAGCACCAGGAATCTGCTACAAAAAAGATCCTACCTCCAGCTAACTTCAGCTAAAATCCTACTCCAAACAAATCCAGCGCTGAAAAATCAAACTGATTTCAGTGGATTTCAGATTTTATTCCGTGTTTTTTCTGGTATTACTCTGGTTTGACCCCTCATATAAAAGGTAGGTGTAAAGAACCAGCCTTGTACACATTCAAGCTGAACTGAGCAGAAACTCTACACTGTTGCCAGTGGGGTTCTGTCTCATCCACAAACAGCCACAAAGAAAGGAAAATTTAGATATTTGGATGGAAAAAAAAGAAGACAAATACCTCTAGATACTTACAGCATTACAATAAGGCAAAAAGTCAATTAATAACTGCTGTTGAAGGGTGTTCCCCCTGTCTCCAGTTTTGCAGCTTTGCTGAGCTGACTGCTAAATCTGACAAGAAGAGTTTGGCACATGAGGAGCAGACATGCTTGCCCCCAGGCACCGAGGACCACTCCCTTTGCAGCAGCCTCTGGAGCTCCAGCGAGGGGAAAGCAGCCCCAGCAGATGGAGGGCTCGCTTGTGAAACAGCCCCTGTACCAATCCTGCTGGAAGGAAAGTCTTCTGCACAGCACAGAGAAAGGTGTCCAAGTCCTCTGCAGAGCCGAGAGCAGGGCCCAAGTCACCTCAAGCTCTCATTGAAAAGATGATTGATTCTGCTCTATTTTGCTTCTTCCAGCAAAACATCGCAGGATGTTTTCTCTGCTGCTTGCCTCCAAGTTTGCTGCATTTGTTTGCCAAGTCCTGGGGTTGTCAAACGAACAGGAACTCCCCCTGATGGTGCACACCTATTTTCCTGGTGTTGCAAACCCTCCTTTTCACTAGCAGTGCGCAGTACAAACACACATATAATTCTACTCATTTTCATGTGATACTGAATGAAACTACTTAAAGCTTATGCCAAATTAACAATCTTTTCTTGGCAATTTCACACCGGGATTCTATGCCAACTTCTGTTTAACAAGCAATGTTATTAACAGAGAAAATAAGGTTTTTTTGTTTCTGCTTTGATTTGCCTACTTGAATCTTCTGCTGTAGTGAATTTTCCCATGCATGTGCATATCTAAAAACCTAACAAGGGCAAACAGCTCTATTATTTCCATAAAAATTGCTACTGCACAGCAGTTCTAGAAAGTCTAGAGCTTGGGGGTTGTTCTAAATATATTAAAATCAGTATTCAAAACAGAGTTTCAAGGCACAAACTTCAGAGTCTCCTCTAGACTGCACTATCACACACTCCAAGAGCTGGGTTTTCTGTCAGGATCTCGCCTCTTAGCGCTGCTCAGGAAGAAGAGATGAATCAGAAATGAGATTTAACCAGCCAACAGATTACTCCCCTGGCACGGGGAACGCAGTGCTGCAAACGTGCCAGCTCTCCTAGTGCCACCCACCATCTCAGCATATGGGGTGTGTCAGGAGTAAAAAGGCAGCAGAACAGCTCCGTGCTGCATTTCTTCCCCCCTGCCCCCTCCAGCTCAGCGGAGTCATCGGCACTACTGGCAGCTCTCAGAGCTGCCTACCAGCAGTGCAGAGAATACAAGGTCAGGCAGGAGCACAGGAAGGGAATGACTCTCCCTCTGGGCTCAGAATCAGTGCCTGATTCAAGCCATCCTCTTAAGCTCACTAGAATACTTTATACCGTATGCAACTGAAAATAAAATTTTAAAAAGTGTTTACGCCACTCGTGGAGGAATGTACAACCACATCATGAGCGATCTGACACCTTCTGCTTGCCCATTTCTTTTTTCAGCTTTACTTCCAGTGCTGTTAAATTGAGCTAAACTTTTTTTACACACCAATCTTTTTTTTTTATTATTTTTACTAAAGCAGAATCCCTAAATACTCTGCGTACACTTTGGGGTTTCCCAAGTTGTACAGATGGGTTGCTTCTTTGAAATTGAATGATTTGGGCATTAACACTTGTCATTTCTCTCTGTGTGTATCTAAGATGTCTTCTAGAGTCCCTCTCTACCCTTTGTACAATGCACCAAGTCTGAGCACAGAGCACATTTTGTGGAGGCTCCATAGCTGAACTCAGTGTCCTAAAGCTGCTTCCTCTCACTGACCACACTCTTCCAACAGCCCAAATTTCAACTTGCATTTAGAGCAGGTAGAGCTCATGTCACCTCTCAGTAAAGGCACTTCTTCTGCTCTTTTGCTTGTATCCAATGTCTTTTGAGCATAGAAAAGATTCTTTATGACCTAATAATATATTCAGTAATGAAGGCATAGTAAATCTGAAAGATTGCCAAACTTCATTAACACAGTCCTAAAAGATGAAATAAGCATAAAATAGAAGGTATATTCTGCAAACAATATATATTGTTTTCTGAAATGTGTATTATTTTCTCCTTGATTTTCCTGAAAAGGAGGGTCATCTACTCAGGCCATGTAAAAAGGGGGCTTCCAAAAAGCTCTCAATAAAAGTTTTAGTTTTACTGGATTTCTGAAGACAAGACATTTGTCTTTCCCAGCTCCTGGAGGCTGAGCTGCATTATTAAAGAACAGATACTAAAGTATCTGGCTGATTCTGCAAAAAGGACACAATATGACATAAAAAGGATAGTGTCAATTTAATATCATCATTAGGTTACAGAGTTAACAATTCATTAATTAATTTCAAATGAGGTAAGTGTATCTTTTACCTTGATGACCTAAGAGTAATCTGAATCTGAAACATTTCTATACCAAAAGTGCAGGCAAAAAAAACACAAAAAAACTAGATACATTTAATGGAAACTATGATTTTACAGAAGTTGATGATATATAAAAATGTTAGTTCCCTAACTGCAGCCTCAAGAGCTGATTTCTGGGGGGATGTACTTGTACTTTTTCTTTCTTTTAAGGCTTTTAGAAGGGAGTGCAAATAGTGTCCTTTGTAATACTCTAAAAAATTAATAGTGGCTATCAGAAGAATTTTGTATGTGACAGTAAACTAAAAATGACTGAACATCAAGCAATGATTTTAGAGTGACAAGCTTCCTAAGATAATATAAACTTTGTATAAGTTCATGTAACACCCAAAATTGCTACAACTACTTTAATAAAGTGAATTTTCCTCTGGGTATTAGCTGCCATGTGTTCTTATTCTATTTCATAGAATTTGCCTGTGTATAAATATTATTTTGAAATTTTGTCTCTATTTCTCATAATTTCTTATAAATTCTTTTTTTTTCCCTTATTCTTTACATTAAAAATCAGTTCCTTTTCATTGGCTAAGCAAAGGCTCCACACCAAGGATTCAATTTTTTCAAAACAATCCTTAGCCAGCTGAACTTTGCAAGTATCCAGTATTTCTGAAAATCAAATTCTTTCTTCTCCAGGCAATGCTTATATGATGTTACATCAATTTAATTTTCACAGCCTAATCACACTGCTTTAGCTACCTATATATCAAACTGAAGTGCAGCCCCAGCACTGCAGTGCCAGCAGAAGGCACTTGTGCTGTTAATCACTGCACTCAGCCCTGGTTTGGGAATACCCACTCGTATTGTGCACCATGGCACAGCCCATGGTGCAGCATCCCACTGCCCAGCCCTGCCCTCTGCTCGAGCACACAGATTTCCTTGTGGGTAACTAATGTCCTCTGTGATTTCCAGGTTCAGCACTTGCAGAAATGTGCTTCCTTGCAGCCAGCAGATAGAACAAGTCACATTAAGGGATTCTTCTTGATTTTGCCTCGCTACCAGCTCCAAGACTACCTCCCCTGCTGCATTTGATCATTCCAGCCCTTCAAGGATCAACCATCAAGTGTTACAAAGAAGGGAAGGTCTTTTTATGGCTCATGCAAATCCATGAAGCCTACACAAACTTCTACTCAGACATTTAAAAAAAAAAAATTTTCCTACCCCTGAGCATCTTCAGAGGATCCACAAAGGGAAAGGCAGAGGTGAAGTAAGGGTGCTAAACAGCAGTTTGAAAAGTGGGGAAAAGAAACCATAACGAATGAGTCCCTGTGAATCAGAAAAATGGAGTTACTTCTGTTGTAGCGAAGGTTATTCACAGCCACCCAAGATGTCTTTCAAGAGAAACTCTAATGTTTTATCTCTTTGCAGAGAAGGTAGAATATTCTGGGCTTAAATGCCTGCAGACAGTTAAATTCTGTGTTACAGGAGGAAAAAAAAAAGAAAAACAGTAAAGACGAATAGCTCTGACCCCTTCAAAATATTTTCTGCACTTCTCATATTACAATTGGCATCAAACACAAAATTACTAAGGCTTTTCATCACTTTTTTTTCTTTTCATTAAAAATGTCCTTGGCTGCATTGAGTTTAAAACATCACAATGCTGAAACAAACCAAAAATTTCTTAGTAATAGCAACCTGAATGACAGAGTATTAGCACCTTTATCAAACGGGAAATTAACACAACACTGGGTTGCACACAGTTTTTAAAGCAGATTTGACTAAGGAATCACTGTTCATTAAGCCAGTACCACAGGAGAAATGTCTCTACAATTTTAAATGTAATTAAAAAGTTGACAGGACATACATTTGAAGTACCCACCACTGAAACTCACTTTGATTTCTGTATTTTTCTGATGATGTTTGAGGGTTTTGTATGCTCTGGTAAAAAAACCTCTAATGCCATTAGTCACCGGATGTTTTTGTATCACATTCACTAGGTTCATAATCTTCTTGTTCTGCCTTTGCACATCATCACAAACATTTTACAGTGGTTTGATAACAGTAATACAGTCAGCCCTCTCAACCAGCACACTCTCTAAAAGGATGCTAGTCCTGATGTATTTGTGCCATGCAGCTGTGGCACAGAGATCCCGCGCAGCATCCGGGCATTTCCTTTCCTGGAAACCATCCCCTCAGAAATACTTTGAGAGGCCTTTACAGTAACCTTCCACATTTCCTTTTCAAAAGGGGGAGGGAGGAGAAAATTTCCACATTGTGGCTTCAGTCAGGCGGAGGACATGACTTGTGCAATCCTAATAAATCAGAGAATTCCCGTGTGGCAGAAGCAACAGGGGAATAGTGTAAGAGCAGTGCTGCATGTTGACCTAAGCAAGAGCTTATCGAGAAATGATGTCCTCTTAAACAGACTCCTGTAGAGATGTTCTGCATTTCCTCTGACAAATTGTAAGCGCTCTGACTGTAACATTCCTAACAAAATAGGGCTGATTTAGCAATGCACAAACTGCCCATTATCCTACTGCATAAAAAGGCCATTTAAAGCAAAGCCTTAGGACACTGCCCCACTGGAAACAGTAGATCTGAAAAATTATCCCCATCTTGTGCCACCAAAGCTGTTAACTACCCTAGGGAATATACCTAATTTACAATACAGACAAATGTTAACTTTAATGAGTTTTAAAACTGCCATTTTTCTTGTTTGACTTTGATAACACTTGAAATCTTAAGCAAATACTTGGCTATTTTTTCACCTGGAATACTATCTAACTGATATTGCCACAGCATTTGTTTTCAGCTGCCCTTGTCTTTCCCCCACTCAAATCATAATGCTCTGCAAAAGTGCAATTAAAAAGTACATCCAATCCAAAACAGTCCTGGAAAGATTAAACAATCTATTTCAACAAACTGTTCCTGTCTGAAAACTTTGCATGCCAAGATTACTACTTGTCATTATCTTCCCAAGAGATGGAGTACCTTTTTTAAAAGTATCTCTAATGAGATCTACAAATCTATGTGCAAGACAGCTTACTTTATTGTGTTTATAATGATAAAAAATATTTTAAAAAGGTTATGGCTCTTGGGACTGATAAAAACACAATGGGGGTAAGGTCATTCGGAAATGCTAATAAAAGTTTTCATAAAATATGATGACTCTCAAGAAGTAATGTTGGCCATGAAAAATAACTATGAAAGTCTATTTCCTGTGATGGTAAACACTCAATTTTTCTGGAGCTGGGTGACTCTCCAAATCCTTTATTTGTTCTGTTGTTGCACAGCTGTAGCTGTTGGATTACCCCACATTTTCTATCAGCTGTGCAGGGTCTGTGCTGGAGCTTCCCCTGCTCACACAAGTTTGGAGGAAAGAGAAGAACACGCACCTGCTGTGGCCATTAAGATTATCTTGAGCTCCTGATCTCTCTGCCAGTGACATCCAACAAAGCCTTGTCCTAAATATACGAGAGAAAAATCCACACAAACCCTTTCTTTTCACACAGCATAACTTTCACAAGAGCACAAGGTAAATATATACAATAGATATACAATAACATAACCAAAAGATTATAGTTATTTGCATAACTTTAGTTTGTTTTGGAATATCAGTTTCATGAGTTTTAAACTAACGCAGCATTCACCATTTTATTTTGAATTCCTCTATTTGAGCACAGAGTATTTTCAGAGTCAGCTTTGGGAATATCTCATCGTGTCTGTTGCTAATGCTCTAAACGTTTTCTATTTCTCCATTTCTTTAATTATTTTTACTGTGATAAACTGTTAGCTGGCATCAAATTAATTTACTCTCATAAATTTTTGAGGCAAAGTTTTGCCTACAATCAAGAATACATGTACCTGTATTGAATAGTTTCACAGGTGTTGATAGTCTGCATTAACTGTATATAAAATTGCTCTTAAATTGTTGTTTTTAAGGGCTGGTCACAGGTGGGGGAAATTTGGTAGAGAGAGCATTGGCTTTCTCCCAAGTACTTGGCCTGGACATGAAAATCAACTATTTGATATTTATTTTGCTAAGGTAATCTGACTTGTCTAAAAAATTCTCCTTGTAAAAAAGCATTTCCTTTCAGCTCCTGGGTCTAGAAGCAAGGGAATACCAGGTTAAAGAAATGGAGGATAACAACATCACCTGCTCTTCTGCAAACACTTTGCATTATCTCAATTTTTTTACTAGTCAGCAGATAGCAATTACTTGACTTATTCCAGTTACAAAGCCATTTACTTGGTCTGCATGCTTTTCCATAAATCCAGGTTTGATTCCCAAACTTAGATTCTCTACCTATGTCCCTGCACAGACACCAGGTAACTGGTGAAAGATATATTACATGGGAAAAGTCTGTAGAAATTGCACTGGGGGGAGGACAGTTTTTCTGTATTGTTTTATTTTTCAGAAGGTAGAAGAGGCAAGGTGAGGATCCTTAGTTACTGTGTGTCAGCTTTGCCTCAAGCAACTTTGGGATTTACTAAAGATATTGTGATGGTGAAGGGCACCAAAGGAAAAGGGGAAGGATAGTAGAAGCCAGGGATGGGGAGAGAAAAAGCAGGCAAGGCTTTTGGACAAAATGGATAAAGGCTCATTGCAACAAAGATCTCTGTACTCAATCTAGACGCCAGATTTTGCAGGCAGAAATAGTGCAATCAGTATAAAGATATCACAGAGTTGAGTTAAACCCATTCCAGGTTCCTCCTGGTATACCAGGGAGGAAGAAATCCTCAAATACAAGGTTTTGTTGCCCTTCCCAAGCCATCACTCTAGCAGCACCTCAGATACCTCAATGGTTTGACAATAGAAGCTGGAGCACTCTTGTGGCAAACTTTTAGAGCACCAAACCATCACCAAACTCCAACACAAAGACAGCACCTGTGTTTTACACAGTGATCAGTACATCCAGTCACGTTCTGACAGGGTACAGACCTGAGGGAGCAGCCTGGGAGTGCCATGTCCAGCTTTGCTGCCTCCTCACCTTTAGGGAGAGGCAGTCCTGAGTAATCCCTGCACATCCCATTTGTGCAGGCCTGTCTCTCTCAGGCAGCATGAAGAGCTGATGTGAACCATAGTTCTGACTCCCCCACCTCTTGTAGACCATTCACACAGACCCCAGGGCCACTTTCAAATAGCCTTTGCTCTTGGAGATTGTAACAACAAAAAAAGACAAACCCAAAAGCAATTCAAAGCAAAGACTGGAAAGGCTACTCCCACTTGTTCCTACAGGCTCTGCAGTAGCTGGCTAAACCTTTATCTTTTCCAAGTTCAAGGCTTTGTACAGCATTTCATAATCTTTTCAAAATGACAAGTCAGTACCTAAAGCAGCAAATCCACAGCCCCTGCTCCACCCATGTGTTTTGGCAGCACATCTGCATTAGTCTGTGACCAGGTGCAACTTGAGGTCACTTCAGCTCAAAGCTGCACCAGTTGCCAGCAATCCAGAGATGCTGATGGTGCCACTCCCAGACATGTGCCACCTCCTCTAATCACGGGGCAGAAATCAGAGAGATAGAACCAGGGGGAGACACAGAGAGATAAAACAGACCAAGCTTCTGTGCCAGAGCCAGAGTGGAGCCCCTGAAGCCCCCACAGGGCACATTGCACTCATGAGCTGCTCAGTGCTCCTCTGACCTTTCCTCATCAGGCCTGTGTGTTATTTCTCTTAGGATAATCTGCAAACACACAGTGTCACCTGCCTTCCTCAGCTTCTGACAAAACCCACCAGGGTATAAATAGGGAGAGAGGTTCCCGGGACAGGAGTTGATGCCATGGCAAAGATGGGATGACTGGACAGCCACAGCAGGCAGTGCAAGGGTAGCTTTGTTCTGGAACCAATGTTGGAGCTTTGAAACTGCCCTCAGAGCACAATTCTGTTTTGTAGATTTTGTTTTTCAAATACAAACATGTAACATTTTGGTATTAGAAAGGCGTTTTATGCTCGTAACACTGAGACACAGAAAAGAACTGGAGATTACTGATTGTTAGCCTGAAGATTTATAAAATTTAGAAATAAAAACTTCATGAAATAGAGTTACTTTTATATGCTTTGATTCATTAATA